TATTCATTCAATTAAGCTACAATTGTATAAAATTTCCACTTTCAACCGCCATTTTTCGCTTTTTAATTGCCTACCATAATTAAAAAAGAATCTATTCCTCACTGTCTCCCCAACGATTCGTGGGATTTCTATTTTTTTTCTTCCGGAACACTCGTCTTACTGCCATTGTTCGAAATGAATTAACATATGCATCCCCATCCATAAAAATTTTTCAAAATGGCGTTTTTCTATTTTTTTATGTAGACGTCAAAGTAGCGACTGACAATCCCCACAAAAATCGCAATAAAAATATGAAACTTCGTGTACTTATTGTTATTATTTCATTTTTTCGTTTAAATTTTGTTGATAATTACCGGTAATTTCGATTCATATGTACATATTTCCTCAATTGCACGTGGCGGTTGCCATGGAAACGCCCGAGAATTTATTAGTATTTCCATACCGGTATAAAGCCGGTTGAAACATTTTATCTCTCACCTTGAATTAAAAAATCATGTGAACATGAAAAAAGGGAAGGAACAACCGATAATCCGGGAGATAGTGTAATTTGTTGATGAAAATGGCAGAAAATGTGAAAGCGTCGCAAGAACTTCTGACCAGATGCCCAAAAAGATGTCAGGGGCCATCAACAACTCGAGTAATTATTAGCATTACTAATCATATCAATTAAAAACATGAAACAGTCATTGAAACATCAATAACTTCTTCTGTAATTGAAGCATTAATTTGTAATTATTACAAGTGCATTATTTTGAATGATCCAGCAACCGTTGGTTGTATCAAGAAAATTGTATTCCCGTTTCGTGGATTACACGACTGAAAATGCTAGGTTAGCGGAAATAGCGGATAAAGAGGTGCAGAGATTATCTGATCTGAAAGACGCGTCTTATGAAGTGACTAAAGACTGGAACGATGCGATCAAAGTAAGATTTTGCCAATAATAAAAATAAAAATCTTTGACTTTTCATTGAATTTTGCATAACATTATCCATTCAGAATCTACAGCGGAGACGTCGTGAGGAGCTTCTGTCTAAAAAAGAAAAGGCCGAGCAGGCGAGAATAAAATTTGCGAAGGATATGGCAGTTAAAAATGCTGTAGAGCGAGCTGAAATAGTTAAAGAGGCGAGAAAACTACTTTTTTACAAGAAACCTCAGTGCAGACTGATTAATAGTGCCCTCTTTACGTCTGAGGTCAGTGCAGCATGTCATTCAAATCTCATTTAAATCTAATTACTCGTATATTAGACTTACAGAGAATTGCATGCTCAATTGGCATTCAGAAAAAAGTTGCGGGGTATTGAACTAGAACGGGATAATATGTATGCCGAACTATTGAAAAAAGATACAGAGGATTTCTTCAGAAAAGAGAAGGAAAAGGCCGAGCAGCGATTGCA